TATTATTATATATATATATACATATATTAAGAAAAGAATTTTAAAGTAGAATTAATGGATGGAATAATTACGTGCTTTCACTTTCTATAGATTTAAAAATAAATAAATAAAAAATTGTACACCTTTTAACGAAATGTATTCACTTCTGCTGTGCAAAGGTTTAAATATTGCTTCATTTAAATATAGACTATATATATATATATATATAAATTTTTTTTGTACAAGAAGTTTCGGCTTGTTTCCTTTTCTTTTCATTGAAAAAGCATAAAAAGTAAAAGTTACTTTTTTCTTATTAAACAAGTATTTTTACTGTTTGGAACTTTCAAGGTATCTAGTTTACGATACAATTGATTTAATGCATCATGTCCCAACTATATATATCTTAATTTCTGCTACATTAGTCTATAAATCACGAGTCTCGAAATTGCTTTTTCTAAATCTAATAAAATTTTCTACAGAAAATTCCAGTTTAATCATGACAATTCATCTACACACACACATTAAAAATTTTTCAATTATGTTCTAGCTTCGTTACTGTCTAAATAAGTATTAACTTATGTGAAGTGTCATTAGATATGAACCTGCTATATAAAGAGTGGTTAAACACGAAAATGCTACACAAGAAAGTATAGAATTGGCAAATGTTGACAATTAAAAAGCTCTGGTAAATGTCCAAAAAATTTAAAAATAAGACTTGTGTTTAGATAAAGATCTTTAAAAATAAAAATAAAATAAGTAAAAGAGAAATGTTTTTTATTGCCTTCTGGTAAAATTTTTTCTTTATTAAGAATAGTAAAGTAATTCATAAAAATATTTTTCACTAATTATTCTCAAAACGTTACCCATTATTAAAAGAACAGTGCTAAAGTATTATACACAATTATAGAAGAAGTAATCTAAAATAACGTGCCTACAAGCAATAAAAACAAAGAAAACGAAAAAAAAAACAAAAGAAAAACTTCACTTCAATCAATAATTGTATTTTAAATGATTAATATACGTATACATTTAAAGAATTATTTATTATTATTTTTTTTCAAAACACTTTTTAGAGGAATTTAATTTGCATACTACAATTTTATTTTTATTTTTTATTTCTATTCTATTATTCAAGTAAGGAAAAGTGTACATATATATACAGTATAATAGAGGTGTATGTATATATATATATACCTTTATTATTTTGGGAAGATTTTGAAAAATAGACAAACAAAAAAATATAGAAAAAATCTATAAGAGCAGAGTGTCAAAAAGATGATTTATTTTACTGAATTTATTCAATAAAAATTGATTATAAAGTAAAAAAAAATTCAATTTAGTTGTTATCGATTTTTGATGAAGGTACTATATCTAAATAATATTAAAAAATCCCAGAAACAATTGATTTTCATCCTACTTTTATCTTATTTAACGTTATGTACTGTACAGTACAGTACAGCATGTGTATAAATATATGAACTGTACAGTACATCGTATAAGACTAAACAATGTTAAAATAACATATGTAAATGAATATTTAAATATATTAAATTAATAATATTCCAACAAAATTACATCTCTATGGATCTTACGATGAAAAACTGAACACTAAACAAACAAATGTTATAGAGAAGAGATCTGTTTGATGGAGTTGGAAAGAAAAGAAGGAAAAAATGAACTTTAATATTTAATAAATCATTGTTTAAATATTAATATCTGAATTAAATATTAAATAAATTGTGAATTATAAAGTAAGCTAAATCTTATATTAAGATGAATATTACCACTAGACAAAGATGATAATAAAGTTTCCAGATTTATTTAATTTTATTAAATTTCCAGTATGAAAATTTTCATATATATAATTTCATTCTTATTTCCAATTTAATCAAACGAAATTTAAATATATACAACATTAAAAAATTAAATTAAAATTTGTAATTAAAGTAATTACAAATATTGACCTAATAAAGTCAAATGATTTAATTAGTTTTTTTTAGTTATTTACTTATATATGTAATAAATTAAAGTAGCAAAATTAATTTGTAAAATATTTAAGCAATAAAACACAATTTATTATTTAAAAAAAGAGTAATTTGATAAGAAAAAAAAATTATTTTTATTTTTTATTTTTGGTTGATTGTGGCTAGGATCTTTTTTCTGTAATCCTTTCCAACACTAATCAAAACAGGAGGACGAGGAAAAGAGGATGAAGATAATCTTTTATATCTTATGTGAGTTTTCGATGGTATTAAAGGAATAATATTAAGATAGGTATAGGAATGAATGCTTTTTGAAAATCTTCCAAATCAAAAAACTTATGATTGAAAAAATATTAAAAGACAATTTATGCTAGATTAAGCAGAACATATATATATAAACACACAACTCACACAAATATATATTTAAATTTCGATTGAATATTAACTAAAAAGTAGAAAATATTTCTAAAATAAAAATACCTTTATATAAATTTTATTATTATT